ACTTCGGCTACCACTTATAGAAATGAAATAAAATGTTTCATTTTATCTATAGGTACATATGAATAAAATAAAAGTGTCTGTCTGTAATATTGAAATAACTGACTTTTATTAAGCTCATATATTCCACGACCGATTTTGGCCACAGCGACCTCTTCAACTCCGATCCTGTCGTTGGTGTGCTCATGCATGGCTAATGTAGCCGATCTTATTTAAAAATGTTCGCGCACAATGCGGGCAGGTGAGCACACCGTTACAGAAATTGCACTTAATCGCACAAGATGGGCGTACTTTGAGTTCATCACGTCGGGCATCTAAATCAGAGCAGCGATTCTCCTGAAACATTTTGACCTTGGCTTTCACCAAAGACCTCCACTCCGGTCGCCGAGCGGCTGCTTGCTCCCACTCTAAAGGCTCAATATCGCACTTCTTCATGTGGCGCTTAAGTACATCTTTGTACCTGAGGAGTTGTCCCCCATGCTTACGCTTGCCCTTCTCAAGTTCAGAGAAAAAAGATGCACTTTGCCGTACGCTGGTCTGACATTCGCGATAAGTGTCCACACCAACGGTGTTGTCGCTCCATAAGGTAGGCCTCAATCCCCATGGTGTGGGCTCTACGCAGCACTTCCGTGTTTCGTGTGCGATCAGACCAACGGATGTTGAGAATTTTGCGCAGACATTGCAAGTGGAAGCGATCCAGCGTCCGTATGTGACGGTGGTAAACTGTCCATGACTCTGAAGAGTACAATATGTTAGGCAGCACTACCGCCTTATAAATGTCAATTTTAGTAGCCAGCTTTAGATCATGTGAACCAAAGATCTTGCGATCCAGTTTAGCGAATACCGCAGCAGCGGCACCGATCCGACTGTTGATTTCAGCATCAAGGTCACACTTTGATGTTATCGTGCTCCCCAGATAACAAAATGTATAGATTTGATTAAGTATGTCATCACCGAGTTTGATGGCAAGTGTCTCTTGACCGTAGATATCTAAAAACATCACTTCCGTCTTTTTGACACTTATCTTTAGACCAAAACTACGGAACGACTCATGAAAGGTGGTCACGAGCTGTTGCAGGCCAGCTGGGAAATCAGTCACAAAACACAGATCATCTGCGTAGACGATCTCTGTAATAAGTACGTAAGACACTTTCGTACGGGCCTTAAGTCTGTCTAAGCTGAGAAGATTGCCATCATTGCGGAAACGAATGCGGATTCCTTCAAGGGTAGTTTTTAAGACTTCCTGGACTACAAGCATAGCATAAACACTCACGCCTGTCACCTAGAGGGGTAGGCAGAGACCACGAACTTCCATTTGACACGATCCTGACATACCCTTGCCTCCTTAAAAATAAATAAAATATCGCCAATTTGGTCGATAAACTTTTTTCTAGGGCGTCCCTTCCCGACTCTGCCGTTCACATCTGCCATATAAATTTGTTTTGTCACTATTCCCTCATTCATTCTTTCTACGTGACCAAACCACCGAAGCATTCCTTTCTTAATCCTGGTCACAACATCATCTTGCATACAACATTTATCTCTTATCATGCAATTTCTCATCCTGTCATTCAGATTCAACCCTAGCATACTCCTTAAAGACCGTATTTCTACAACATTTATTCTACTTTCGTCCTTCTTCTGCCACACTTATACTACCATACATTAAAGTAGGGACTAACACAGCATTATGAATTACCATACGTGCCTTTTTTGATACATTCTGGTTCTTCACAATAGAGTGTAGTGCCCAATTCACTCTATTTCCTGCATTAACTAGTCGTTCTATATCCTTATCATATCTACCATCCCTGCTAAATAATCCTAAATACACAAACTTATCCACTTGCTCAATTAACTCTCCTTCTATTCTTATTTCACATACCGTTTTGCTTTCCTCTCTTTCAAAAACCATCACTTTCATCTTACTTGCGTTCACTTTCATTCCCCCTTTCTCTTAATGCCCAGTTCATTAATGTAACCATCATTTGCAAACTCAGCCGCCGACGACGCAAATATGACTTGATCATCGGCATACAAAAGGCATTTGACGGTTAACTCGCCCATTCTTAACCCACATTCTTCATCATTCAAAGTTTGGAAACACCTGTCCATAAATAGGTTGAACAGCCAAGGGGAAGCCACACAGCTCTGTCTGACACCCTTACGGATGCCAAACCAGTCCGAGTAGACCCCATTGATCCTGACACAAGCACTAGAATCCCTATAAAGAGACCTCAATGCCTGTATCAAACCAGCGCTCAACCCATGTGTGTTCAGTGTTTGCCATAACACATTCCTGTCCACTCTGTCATAAGCCTTTTCCAAGTCCATGAACGCACAAAAATTTTTCTGGTTTTTAGCCAAAAACTTCTCCGCAATCATGCGCATGGAAAAGACTTGATCTGTACACCCCATTCCCTTTCTAAAACCCGCTTGCACATCCCAAATTTTTCCATCAGTTTCTTTCATAACTCTTTCAATTAACACCTTAGCTTACAGTTTACCCACAATACTAAGCAAGCTGATACTACGGTAGTTTTTGCAGTCCTGCTGTGACCCTTTTCCCTTATATATTGGTACTATAACTGCTTTACACCAGTCATCCGGTACCCGTTTTAATTCCCAACATAAATTAAACAAGGTGTACAGCAGGCCTGCCACCACTCCCTCTCCAGCCCTTAGCATCTCGAGTGATACTCTATCATATTCAGCTGCCTTACCTGCTTTCATGCTTTTCATTGCTTTCATTATTTCATCTAAACTTATCTCCATACCCCTTTCCACTTCTTTCGAAATTTCTTGTTCATTTAATTCAGACGACTCTTCGCTCATAAACACGCTTTCAAAGTATTCCTTCCATCTGTTTAAATTCGAAACTTCATCATTCAGAATACATCCATTCTCGTCTCTTATAGCATTAATTATAGGCTGTTTTGTATTTCCCCCTGGCAGTTCTTACGAGTTTCCAGAACATTTTTATATTAGCCTGGAAATTATCAGATATCCTTCTATCATTCTTATCTGTTCTTTCTTTCTTTTTCCTTTCAACTACTTCTTTTACTCTCTTATTTAGACGTCTAAATTCTGCCTTTTTTCTTTCAATCTCATCATTCATACCACCAGAATTACCAGTTTTAGTTACTAGTAAATCTAACCATGCTTTCTTCTTTGATTCAACTTCAACCCGCACCTCATCATCCCACCACAACGTATTCCTTTTCCTTTCATTTGTTCTCTTACTTACACCACATACTTCGGTGGCTGCATCCACGAAACCTTTCTTAATATTATCCCACACAGTATTCAAGTCTAAATCATACATACAAAACTCATTCAAACACCTAATATTTTCTCTCAGTCTACATTTATACTTCTCTTTCACATCTTCATCTTGTAACTTCTCTATTCTTATACGCTGTAACACAGTGGTAGACAGATGTCCGATGCCGCCAACGCTTGAAAAGACCATTAATTTGACATAAGACCAAGTAATGATCCGTCCCTACGTTGGACCCTCGGTAAACCCTTGTATCTACGACTGCGCTCCTCATTTTTTCATCCACAATTACGAAATCTATCATGCTTCTATCATCACCTCTTTCCCATGTATACATGTGAATCTTCTTATGACGAAAAAAAGTATTCGTCACAAAGAGATTCTTTTCAACACATACGGTGAGGAGGTCTTCACCATTCTCATTTATACTTTCATCACCAAACGTTCCCAATATCCTTTCATAACCAGACCTCTTCACCCCAACCCTTCCATTAAAGTCTCCTAACATAATAATATTTTCAATTTCCTTACATTTTGTAAACACCATCCTTACCATATCCCAAAACTACTCTCGGATGTAAGTGGGCTTAGACATGTCTGGGGCGTACACCCCTAGCAAGAACAGCTTCTTTAAGCCCACTTTCATTCGTATCCATAGCAGCCTCGGGCTTACACATTCATACTCTTTCACACATTGACCCATTCTTTCTGAAAGGATGAAACCGACTCCCTGGCATGCCCGTTCGGTCTCGTCTACACCAGACCAATACGCGGTATACGTGCCATGTGCAGTGGCATCCTTTCCCTTTCGTTTCGTCTCATTTACTCATAACACATCTATTCCTCTGTCATTCATCATTTCGCATACTTCATCCATCTTATCATTCATTGCTCCACATACATTCAGCGTAGCCAGACGGGCTTCCGCAATCCACTTTTGCCCCTCCGGGAGACAGAACGTGACGGGTGGCGAACCTCGTCGCCGGTTTTCTCCCGGAGATTCTTCGCACCCCTGCCCCATTAAAGGGGCGCCGGGAACTCGGGGCCATTTCTTTTATCTCCTGGACTATAACTGCAAAGTATAACGCGAAAAGTGTGGGTGCAAGGACACACCCTTGTTTTACCCCACAGGTAACGGGAAAAAATTCTGACTGATCAGCTTTTACTGCGACGCAGCTCAGCATGTCGTCATGCAGGAGTCTCATAAATCTCACGAACTTCTCCGTGCATCCAATTTTCTGCAGCACTATCCAGAGGGCTTCTCGCGGTACACAATCGAATGCTTTTTCAAGGTCTACAAAACAGAGATATATATTACGACCCCGTTCTCTGCTTTTTTCCTGCAGTTGACGCAATGAGAAAATCGTCTCACAGGTACTTCGGTCTGGTCGAAAGCCAAACTGGGATTCCGAGAAAATCCTTTCAGAAAGTTTCCTGAGGTGGTTTAATAGAAAGTCTGGCGAAGATTTTTCCAGGCACAGATAGTAGAGGAATGCCACAGTAAGAATTGCATTTCGACCGGTTACCCTTGCCCTTATACAGGGCTCGTATGAGGGATACCTTATATCGCCGAATATAAATCCCCTCCGCCATACTTCAATAATTCACCCGGTATAAAATCAACACCAATCGCGCGTTTATTTTGCTGTTGCTTAATGGCAAGAGCAACCTCGTCAGGCGAGACTGGCTCATCGAGCTCGAGGGCAAAAGGTTGCTGAGGTAGTTAGCGAACATGGTCTAGGTCAACAAAATTATCCACGTTAAGTAGGGTGTTGAAATGCTCCACCCATCGCTCGAGTTTTTCCACCCCGCTTTTAAAAAGCGCTTCACCACTAGTTGAATTCATTGGAACTTTTGCCATAGTGGACGTACCGAGTAGATGTCGCACTTCAGCATAAAACTCTTCGAGCTGGTTGGTATCAGCGAGCCACTGCATCTGACGAGCCTTCATCTGCCACCAATTATCTTTCGCTTGTCGTGCGAGTTTACACAGCTCCAGATCACTATGACGCAACTCCTTAACACTTCCACACATGCATCGTCTAACGTCGTTTCAGTTCGGCAGACTTCGGCACTCGGCAGACTTCGGCACGGTGTTTGTGTGCGTGCGACTAGACGTATGCGTGAACACTAGCTGCTCACTCAATGATAAAAATACCTGAATAACCTACATGTATTGTAAGATATTAAAAATATTTTAAACAATATTAACTTCTCATTTATTCAATAAGAGAAAAAAAAAATGTTTTCTTATCGGTCACCACGCTCAAAAAGTGTAACTTCATTTAATATCAAAGACTTAACTGCATAAATAAAATAAATAAATAATTATAATTGCATAAGTTGATAAAAAATGCTATGCAATAGCTTTACCGCGGCAGTCACCGAGTGCCACACGTATTTTTAAATAGTATAAGGATGACAAACGAGCATACAGTCTACTAAAAATTATTAAAAATTTAAAGGTACAGCCTATAAACGTCCCACTGCTAGGCACAGGCCTCCTCTCATTTTTGTGAGGTTTTTAGTGCAAGGAAGTGTTCACCGCGTTGGCCCAATGCATGTTGGCAAATTTCACATGTCCTCCAAATTCTTTTTTCTTATTTCTCAGACTTGCAGTTCATCTCACTGTACTGTGTGCTGTGCTGACGGGGATCCAACCCGTGTTGCTAGCGATCTGCGAAATTTACAGCAAGACATACATTTGAGCTATGGCGCTTCAATATATATTTGATAAGGATAAATTGTGATTGACTCAAAGTGAAAAATATATAAAACTAAACGCGGATAATATTTCAAGTGTGGATAACATTTAGTTTGTGACATAAAACCGATAGTCGTCGTTTTTATAGCTTACGAGTATGCTCACCCAAAAGACGCTGTATGTTTTAATATAGGCTTTTCTCCTAAATTTTGAATGCAAATTTTAAATTTTCTATATAAATTTTATGAGGAAAAACATGCGGAACAACAATTAGATGCATGACGGCATGTGATTAAGTACTGGTTTAAACTTATAAATAAGTCACAGCATCATCGTGTACACTTATAGACTTCATCATTTTTTTCATTTTCTTTTTGTTCTGTAGTTATTTTTTGTTTGGTAAGCACAGGGTCGTCGCACACCGTAACAAATAAAATGTATTTTCCATAAATATCGGTATAGTGTTGTATGTGTTGTGCCATTTTTAGCTAATAATTGAATCTAAAGCTTCACTTATTTATGAGCTGGATTCATAACAGTTAATAGAAAAAAATAATTTAAAAATATTAGATATTTATTACAAAGAAAGTTTTTCACACAAGGCTCAAATTTTACACATATTGTCTTTTTAAAAATCTATTTTGTTTACGCTTTTGCTTAAAGAATATCACAAACTCAAATTTCGTGTAAATTGTTTGATGAGAAAATTGATTCCCCAGTTTTTCACCCTCAGGGGTGGAATTTTGGCTTCAAATGTACACTACCCTTGAAGTGCAACTTAATTCAATTAATATTTGATTAATTTATTTTTATATAAAATACTCATTAAAATTGGTTTAAAATTAGCGAATATATCGGTAGCATCCATACAAAAAGATCATAAAGTTAAAATCCTCCATTTTTCGAAGTCCGCTAAAAAGTTCGCATAATATATAAAACACTTTTTACTCGATACGAGGCATTCCACCTAAGTCCTCACGGATGACAACGCATCTGCATTTTGATTCGTAATCGAGGATAGATGTAGATGTCTATGGGCCACAGCAAACGCTTACCATCAGGTGGACTGTGTGCTTGTTTGTCATCCTATCCTATAAAAAGTAATAGGTATTGTACTCCTTTCAAAAAATATCGCCATGAAATGGCAGCGTAATGCTTTATTTTGGACGGGGACTTGATTATTTTCTAGTAAGTTTAATTTAAAAACTCATTGTTAAAAAAGTTGTAAGGTTTTTCACATTTATAGAAACATAAGTCAGTTCAACATTTAAAACAAAACCTAGTTAACAATATACAAAAAAAAATTACAAGAACCATGCAAGAAGAGCATTATTTCAAACTAAGGATTTGGGGTGAGAATTTGATATATTAAAGGGTTATTATTAATATTTAATAGTTTTATGAAAGATAAATAAAATAATTAAATAAAAATTCTTTTAAAAGATGCAATGCAGAACAACGAACAATGACTAATGAAAAATCTTTAGACGATTTTTCAAAGTATTCAAGTTATTCCTTTATTACTCTTTCTTCTACGAACGGAGTGAATGAATTTATTATCTTTAAAACCTTTGGATATGTGTATTATTTTTACGATGAAATATAAAGTTTCTCAACCAATATCTAACTTACCTGAATATTATGTATCTACTCTGCAAACTCACAAATGACCTTCAGAATGTAGGAATGTAGACTAATGGTAGTGATAGCCCTGTCTGTTATAATGGCCCGGTCCCAGTAGAGCCTGGCGCCGTCATTCTCGAGCACGGCTTTTTTTATATACAATAGGGTGACAAATAAGCACACAGTCCATATGATGGTAAGTGGATTCTGTGGCATATAGACATTTACATTTATCCTCGATTAAAGATCAAAATGCAAATGCGTTGTCACCCGCGAGGAATAAGATGAAATGCCACGTTTCTACTAAAAAGCATCTCCGGTTCTCTATACTCACCATATGAATCACAGCAGCATGGAGATACTATTTTACGTTAGTATTCAACTTATTATAAATACTGGCCGGAAGCCAATAAGGTTGGCTTTCGCCTAGTATTTATAATAAGGTTTTCACGATCCAACAAGGACGTATTTCAAAGCGAGCTCCTGGTGCAGAATCTTGGCTACTAAGTTGTTTATGTACAAATTCTCAGAGTTAAAAAGCGCCGAACAACCGGAAATGACATGCCTAAGTGACTCAACTGGATGGTAAAAAGCTTGGCAGATATCAACTGTGAATCTCTTAGAATGTATCTCCGATAGTTGTAGTGTTAGTAACCTGAGAGGTTCATGTAGAACCTTGTAAAATCTCTCGTGGAGCTCCTCATCTTTCCTACGGTCCCCCGGTCGGAAATTTTCTGTATTGCCGGGTTTTTCCTTTGTTTGTTGGCTAAGGATAAAGGGCTAAGCCCTTTATCACAAGAAATGACGTCCCCATATTATAAGTCATTGGATCTCGTACCCAGTGTCATTTTAATAGAATTGCTAATATAGTACTCCTTTCCGAAGCTGAAATGCATCCCTACAATAAGGTATTAAGAGAGTTTATAGAGATACAGAACAAGTTCGGACAAGACAAACGCCCTGGAAGATACCCCTTCTTATCCATATGCGTTGTTCTGCAACCGTCATCCGCTCGCCTAGATAACAAATGATCGGATTGTACTGGCCCATACACTATCCGAGGAAGTCGCTAAATGTACAGTCAACCTTGTACAACTCGAGACACACTCCCTCACATACAACTACCTCTTTACCCATATATGAGGCACCGAATCGAACGCCGCGTTGCCAGGCTGCGGAGAATTTTTGACGGTTGCTATTGTCAAGTTTAAACCCACTTCGACAATAACAACGTCAATGAGGCGTGGTTTTGTTGGTATCACGACTACCACCCTGACATTCATTTTGAAAGCCTGACATCAGCTGATTTGCGTCCGGTAACGAGTTATTCTCGCGCTTAAAATGGACGTCAGTGAAGAAGTTTGGAAATGTCTTCTGGTCGAGAGGATCTTGAAACTCTCGGGCAAGCATAGCGTAACACACCATGAACCCCTTCAGCCGGTAGCCGCTCGTTTGCTTCTTGCAACCACAGTTGCAAAAACAGAATCCTTAACTTTGCTCTTTGCAACTGTGGTTGCAAACCGACGAAGTTCTTTTAATTGAATTTAGGCCGTATTTTAAACGCACAGAGTCTAACTATTACGTATTAAAACCAAAAGTAAATATATATATCATACATTTCGGTCAAAATTACCAACCTCTTGGACGAAAAATATCGAAACTTTGTTAATTAAAGTTTGGTGAGTGAGGTGACACTTGAGTTGATTTAATGAGGTGATAAAATATGCCGTGAGTATTGCATTTTATTGATTTTTGCTAGTATTTATATACCAAATAAATGTGTTATTAGTGTTTTCTTGTATTAAAGTAATATTTTTCCAAATACTGTATGAAAAATATGATAAAGTCGACTTTTAAAAATACTCAGAATGACGCGAATATAAACATAATATTCTATAGCTTATATTATCGTAATTATGTTGTATTCTTTAAATACGAAATAGTCGTAGTAGTATTTGAATAATATTATTCAATTTAAGTAATAAAGTTTTATAAATTTTTCATCATATTATAATATAAGTTTTTATGTAATAACAGCCTAGATCTAACAAATAGCGATCGATTGTGCAATCCGTGAATTCTTCATCAGGTTTCACTTAATATTTTTATATGTTTATTTAAATATAAATCGTTTTATAATATAGAAAAATATATCATGTAATTCATTACGTTTAAGAATATAATAAATAATCATACACTTATCGATCTTATTTTTTTGATAAACCCAATATTTTACAAAGTCGCTAAATGGCTTGTACTTGTGATTACAACACCTGTAAAATATTATTGTAATCATATTTTGATAGAATAACATACGTAATTTCTTGTCTTATTTCAATGGCTATTCATAAAATTTAAAAAAAATTGAAGTGCTCCTCTCGAGTAAGTTATAAATTAAGTTTTATTGAGTGAGTAACACAGTCCCGACCTACTGGCAAAGTAACATACCCTTTTTTGTTCGCAAGCAATCGAGCGGGTAGTGATGCAGCCCGGCGAGTCCCCGACTTTTCCAGTTCGGGCCCTACGGACTGCCTCAGCTATGTCATCCGGCGATTTGTTAGTGGGGTCCATGGGCATAACACTTGCACACTGACTCACCACATCATCCATCCAAGGGCCCTCGCTGTGGTTTACGGGGTCTGAACACAGGCCGCGCCAGAATGTGACAGTGTTGACCTAATTCAGTGCTGGGCCCTTTTCACGTACCG